GGATTGTTGTGTCAAAATGAAATCTAATTCTTTCATCTTTTCATCCCTTAATTCTGTTAATTTAGATTCGAGCCAACTCACCGTAGAACTTAATCGTGGCATTGGTCGTTCGTACGAGGCAGTGATTACTTTGCGAAAAAGGACATTAGAAGGCATTATCTTATCCCTCTCTGACTTGATCGAATGTCTTTGTTTCTTCATTATCTTAGGATAATTAGGATTATATTCAAATCCTGAATGAAGTGTAGATGCCTCCTTGAGCTTATACAAAAATGGATTTAAATTCACTTCCTTTGCTTGAAGATGTGATTTCTGTTTAAGTCTTTCAAGAGGAAATCTTCTATATTTGTCATTGATAGGGCGTATATTGGGAAATTGTCCATATCCGTGTGGATCCTGTTCGGTATCGATGGTAGCAAATCCATTGTTTTCGCTTCTACGATACATCGACGGATCACGTTTCGTCCATCTACGACTGGTTATAGCAATAGTCAGAATTTCTTTAAATAATAACGAAAATATTAGAATTCGATACATGGCGAAAGAAAAATCGCTGCGAAGAGAACGCATTCTAACAATGAAAACGTTTTTCATTATTTCTTTGTAATAATGTTAAGCAATACGTCATTTGTATATTTTTGTTATTGATATTTTAATAAACGCTATTTGGGGTTTTTAAAGAAATTTAAGAAATTTTTTTCTTTTAGAGAGTCCCAGGTGGTAATATACCTTAAGATTAAAGATGGTCTCTTATAGATCTTTAGAATAGTGCTCTCTTATGTGAAATTCTGCTGTAAAAGTCACCATAATGGCCCACATTTAAACTGATTAGTAAGATTCTCACTAATATAAAACGTAGGAGAAAATTGGAATTTGGGAGAGGATTCTCTCAAGCAAACTGTTCTCTTATCTGATGCCATTAAGTGGACTCAATATAGTTTATAGTTAAACTGTAAATACTGATTATTTGGATTGGATTGATGGAGTAAGGCAATGCAACATATGGACAATCTGCCAAGGAGGGATGCTCTCTGTAAAACTATGGAAAATTGACCACCATTTAAATTTTAGACACGGGAAGAAAACCCAGAAAACTTGGTATGGCACAAACTTGTAACCAACTACAAGTGTTCGGTAGTTTTATCCAATTATTTGGAATTTAAAATCTACAAAAATCTATTATGATCAGGATTATATCCATCTATTTTAATCTTCTTCACTATCCACGAATAAATATAATAATATAAATCGCGAATAAATTATTTTATTCTTTTAATAAAACTGAAAAATAGTTTTGGTAGGTAAAAATGCGATGCGTGATATTGAATTCATTACTGCAAAAATATTTACTTTAACAATGTCAGAATCATAATTCTATGAATATATTAGACTCCATTATTTTGTTTCTAACTTGCTGACATCATTCCTTATGATTATTATTGTAAGATAAAAGCCATGCAAATTGCATTGGAAGTTAATGGTTTATACGAGCAATTCGAATGTCGTTTCTCTAAATCTTTGTAAGAAAATCCTTAGATGTCATCTTTCCATTTCAATAAAACAAAGTACATATCCCACCGTTTTGTTTTGTTAAGTGGAAGGCAGAAAATTTAATAAACAATACTAAAAGATTATGTATATCCGCGCGGTAAGGCATTCGGAGGATCCGGGTTCGAATCCGACGCTCTTTTCACAATATATATATATATATCATATAGAGTAGGGTTATGTTTTACTTGCTGACCCGAATCTGCCTTCTTGTAATGGGCCGAATCAAGTATTTTGGACACAATGTTTGCTCTTAGAGAACACTAAATGCCGCGCATCAAACAAGCAGTTTGAAATAAAAATAAAATATTTTACAAGATTAATTATTAGGGTTTTTGGATGATAAACAGAATAAGTAAATCCGTAACAATTGTATAAATAATTTTTAAAGCATTTTTTATTTTTTTAATGCTTTAATTAGGCCGATGCCTTAACTGCCTCGGCCTACCGCTCCGCGGAACCCGGGTTCGAATTCGGGCGAGTAATCTCAGGAATATTTCCTGTTGGTCTATTCTAAATATGTACGGTTCCATGCCTCGTCACTCGGCTCCCACTTGTATACCCTCTTAGGGCCCGCAGGGCAGAAAGTGTAAAACAAAAGACATTTTAACGTATACCAATTCATAGAACAATAGATATTCAGTAATTTATTATAAATTATTTCAAATTTATAAAATGTTTAAATTAATAATTATAAAAAATAAAAAAATAAAATAACATTTATATTCGTTAATTTAAATAATATTTAAAAATAGTATGAATAGCAAAAATAGTCGTCTGCTCCATTTTTTTTATTAATATAACGATAATCATTATATAATCTCATTACTAATTACACAATTATCTTATATTATATTATTATTGTCAAATATAATTCCGATAAAAATTTCGATAATATTTATAAATAATATGAAGATAATTTAAGGGTTGCAATTATCAGTGCAAGATGGCGACGGGTTATGTCGATCTGCGTTATAAGCTCCTTCAATCTTGTCAAAAATTTCCAGTTAATCGTCATCAGAGAGACGTGGAAGATATAAATAACGATAGATGGAAACCTTATCAAACGGATAAACGTAAATATAACGATCGACAAAATTATGGAGACGTTTTACGTAAATTACACGAAGGCATACAACAGAGACGTATGTTTAGCGAAGAGGAATGCATTTGCATCGAGAATAAAATTGAAGACGTCGTTAGATGCGGGGAAATCGGTAAATATAAACAACATACCGTCGACAGATCGCCACTTAGGAATAAATATTTCTTCGGTGAAGGGTATACCTACGGTTCTCAATTGTCTAAGAAAGGACCTGGCATGGAAAAGTTATACCCAAAAGGAGAGGTGGATGATATACCTCAGTGGATTGAAGATTTGGTGAGTATTTTTTTGTTTATTTATTGCTAATTTGTGCCTTAAATTACAGGAAGAATAGTTGTTTGTTATGTTGTGTGATGTTTGTAGTTGACATTTCAATCATAAGTTGTGTTTAGACCGGCAGTTTTTAACTTTTTTTTGGCTTGTGCACCCCTCGCCGGACTATTTTGCTAAGTTTTAATTTGCATGTTTGTCGAATGGTGGCACCTTGGTTGATTATACTGCATGTACAATTACATATGTTTTTATTTAAAACTGAGCATAGAGTGCTTCAGCGTTGCCTAAGGCTACGGTTACTGTGTATGTGAATTCTGACAAGTTCATCCAAACAAACAAATACCAGTTTTCCAATGAGAGTGTTTACTTTGGCACCGAAGGGCATGTCAGAACATGCACGATGTAGTCAGAACCATTCGAGTGTTCAAATGAGTTTGATTTTTTTCTTGCGTTCTGACATTGAATTTCAAGTGTTTTAGTTTTTTCAACATGGATATTGATAAATTGATTAGTCTTGTGCTTGAGAATAGGTGTTTGTGGGACATGAAAGACAAAAACTATCACAACAGAGATTTCTCGGCAGAGATAGCTCTCATTCTGAAATACTCGAAAAACTTTTGCGGGTTGTTCCACAAATCTTGATATAGGCTAACATTTGGAACTCTCCCTTATTGTCTCTTTGGAAAATAAGTGGTTAACATGCTCTGTTTTCCCACCACCTATCAACAACAATAACTTAATCAACAGACTTTCAAGAAAATAAAACTCATGAAGTTCGTCCATTTTGCTGGGAGGCAGAAATGTACTGACTGTCAGAAAACATGCACCTTGTTCTGACGAGGATTTCGAACATACTTGTCAGAACAAGATTTCGTCAGAATTCGCATCCACAGTAACCGTAGCCTAAGGCCTTGGTGCAGAATCCACTGTTATTAGTTTTTTTTGCCTACCTCTAAACTTCCGAGCATGTGCCTCCGGTGGGAATTGTTGGTTTAGGCTATTGTTTATACCTGGTCTTTGCTACTCTGGCTTCTCGATTATCCACCATACCTCTATATATGTTGTTCTTATTCTCTTATTATGCCTTAAATTCCAGGAAGAATAGCTCCATTTTGTTATTTGATATTTGTAGTTGGTATCTCAATTATAGAAGTTGCATTTAGGTCGTTGTTTATGTGTGGTCCTTCTAGTCTGGCTTCTCAATTATCTGCCATACCTCTGATATAATATGTTTTTCTTATTCTGGGTACATTCTTTTCTTATTATGCATTAAATTCCAGGAAGAATAATTCCGTATTATGTTGTTGTATTTATTGTATTTGTAGTCGACGTCTCGATCTTGAAAGTTGCATTTAGGCTATTGTTTATATAATACCATTTTACTAGTCAATTATCCAAAAGACCCCCATTATAATATTTCTTTTTATTAAGTTTTTTAAATACATAGTGCAATATTATTCAATCATTGTTATAATAATAAACTATAAATTTACTAAGATATGTTCTCATTAATTTGGCACTCCTCTGTGAAAGGAATGGATAGATTAACAAGAATCTAGTGTAAATGCAAATGTTTATAGAGTAGCAATAAGTAACTTGTATCTAGTCTTAAATACCCAAATTTCTTCAGACAATTTTTTTGTGAATAAATTTGATAAATCTCTGTATTATTTCAAGAAAAGAGTAATATTTGGATCAAATAGGAATTAATAATTATTACAAAAATTTTGTTAAAAAGAAAGGGATTTCGTATTTATTTCATAATTTGAATTACGTAAAGTATGTAAATGAAATGGTATGTGTGCTCGTGAAGTAAATGATGATTCACCTGAAATGAAGACGGGAAATGAAACGAAATTTATTGAATAAAATATTTTGAAACTAAATAGTAATTACGTGTTACATCTACAATTTAGTAATATTTCTGATAATGGGGATGACATTTTTATTGATGATTTTAAAGGAAATATACACAAATAATCCTTTATATAAGAATGCATTAGCATGGTGTAGTAAAACTTCATTAATATTTACAAAACATTTTGTTTATCACCCTAAATTTTGTTACTCTTCTTGTTATTTCGGCAGTAGCTCGTGTTCAGTTAACATAGTCATTCAAAAGAAGTTTGGAATATTTTATGACAAAAACAAATCATTAATGACTTTCAGAGATAATTTTGTGGATTGAGACTAAGCAAACACAAAAGCTAGGATTTGTATTTGCTTATTCTGTTAGTAAAGCAATAAAATGGAGAAATTCATACTTCCAACCTTATATTGCTAGAAATTTGTGATGTCTTAATATCTCAAGATGGAAGGCTTGAAGGCTTCTATTTTTGTTTTATAGGAGACATTCATCCCCTACCACAAATTTTTTTAAATATTGACATTTTTATACAAGTTTCTAGAGAAAATAATTTTATCATCATCATAAAGTCACTAATAAATTACTTTGCAAATTTGAAAAGAATACAGTAAATATTTTTTTAAGTTCTATATTTAATAAAATTCAATATATAAAATTGATGTTAGGTTTCTAACTCTTTATTTTCAAAGAACATATTTGAATTGCAACTAGCCAAATCATATACCACATAAAGTGGTTTATTGCAGCAAATCTGTCAATTAGGATATTTTTCTTGATATATATGGCTGCTTTAAAATTTATCTAAGCTATTAATCAAATATAGGGTGATTCAAAAGTCACAGAAAATTAAAAAAATTAATAACTCACAAACTATTTACATAGTTTGTCAGTTATTAATTTTTTTAAATTTCTGTGACCTGAATCACACTGTATATGTGAATGTATAAATTACTATACAGGCAATGAGTGTTTACATAAGTGTTTGATATTGCCAGATTCACAATTTACTATTTTTATGATAAAAAACATACTACTATAAAATTATAACTAATCTGCTTCTTGAGTTTTAAGTAATTTTCTATAACCTAAATGTTTTCAGATGCATCTCATCCATCTTCAGAGTCAAAATGAAACATTTGATGCTTCAGATTCCACTGAATGTTACTTCTAGTGAGGTTTTGAGGGGTGTGTTATACAAGTCATTTAGGACTATTCCAAAATGCCTTGTATAACACATCTCTCAAAACATCACTAGAGTCTACTGACAAATTTAAGGCATTAAGCAATGTTTTCAGACTCCTGAGCCCTGCTTCAAGTTTTCTGCATTCTATGAATGGAATGCTTATAGGTTAAAGATTTAAATTTAAACCTTGGTTAAATTTAAATCATGATGTTACCAACAAATCTGATCCTGGATCCTAGTGAGGTTTTGAAAGATGTTATACATTACTATTAAGTTTAGTTGAAGGGTGAAAGAACTACAAAACCTCCTCCTACCTTTTTTTAAATTCAAAATTAGAATATTTTTAAATTTAGTCCAATTCTATCCTCACTTCACTAGAATGAGGTTAGGATAGAATATCAGAAAAGCCATTAGGTAATCAAGAACATGAAAGTTCCTATTTAAATTTAAAAGATAGGGGAGCATTTGAAATGGAATTTGATATTCAGAACATCAAAAGTTTCATTTTCACTTTGAAAATGAATAAGATGTGTCTGAAAACATTTTGATGCAAAAAATTTCTTATAAATATGAAGAAGCTAAAGTTTATTTTCCAAAAGTTGCATCAGAATGCAGAATATATGTAAATATATTAAATATACTAAAAATTAATCATAATTGGTCTGCAATTTGAAAAAGTTGTAGACCTATAAATTTCCATTGTTGTCCATCCATCTGCCTTTAATCTTGAGAACGGAGTTAGATAGATGAAAGTCGAGACCAGATATGGCAATATTAGGGACACAAGGCCCCGATTTAACTATATACGAACTTCCAGTAGAAACTGGAAGTCATGTTATTTCAATTCAAAACTTCCCCCAAAAGGAGTTGGAAAGATGACCAGCACTACTCATAATTTTCTGTTAGCAAGACACTACTAATTTGAGGTGGAAAGCATATATTTTAAATTAAAAATATAATTAAAAATTGCAGCATCGCATTGTGATGATGTCACAATAAATAATTGCTCATTTGATCTAAAATCTCTATTTGATTCCAACGCATAAAAGTTATGATAAAAAGATGCTAAATGTTGTAATTGATAGTTACACAATGTATCCAAAAGAATTTGGATAATGGAAAACTTTNCTACAATTTTTTCAAATTGCTGTTAAAATAATTTTATTTTACATAATTAGATTAAGTGAATAAATTATAAATTATTTAGAAATGCAAAATAAACTATATCTTATTTGAAATTGTTGATACAAATAATTTTTATATAGTAACAAAGCACTATTATGATGTCAGAACCATTTATAACTGAAACTAATACAAAGATCTTTGTATAATCATTGTTGTCATTACTATTGCTAAATGCAGAGTGTTTTTAAAGTTGCAGTTGGTATTGTAGGTTATACCAAACCAAAAAACCATGCACGTGCAATTAAACTGCCTATGTGTAGCTGTGTAATAGTGAAAAACAACAGGTATGTGTCGTTCTTGGCCACTACTGATGCACTGGTGAATAGTTTAATAAGCTTTTACCAAAACATCCTGTAACCTAACAAGACAGCAGAAGTAAATGGCACTATATTGGCATTTGCAGATTTACTTTGTCAAAATAACTTTGGGTTAATACCAAAAATATAAAATATCCAAAAAAATAATAATAATAATGTTAAGATGGTGTTAATAATATAACTGTGGAGGCAGTCATATTGCTTTGTCAGAGCTCACTGTATCCACAGCCCAATTGCATTGGCTGCTGCACCAATGAACTTTGTAAATAGAACACAGTTTAGTACGTCATAATTCACCAATGCATACTGGAATGTACTCTTTATCACATAAAATCAATCAAGCTGAAAGACACAACCACAACCTACAATACCTACTGTGGAGAAACTAAACCTGTATTATGCAGTTTTTTAATTATTAATTACATATCAAATAAAGTCTGTAACTACCATG